AAAAAGACAAAGAAAAAAAAGTCTGCAACTTGCTCCCAGGGACTGGAGAAAATTAAAAAAGGTTGGAATCCATCAGTGTTCATTAGTCATCTTCTCCTTCATCTTCCTCTCCTTCTTCCCCCTCATCATCATCTTCATCTTCTTCACCTTCATCCACATCACCTTCTTCATCAATATCTTCATCATCATCATCATCATCATCATCTTCTTCTTCTTCTTCTTCTTCCCCTTCCCCTTCTTCATCATCCATGTCAGGAACCAAGTAGTACTGTAATGGATTTGGCCAAATGTCATCTTTAATGACTTCTTCTGACTCATCTGCACCTGCATCAGAATGGTCAGTAAACCAGGTAAAGAAGCTTTCTGGTTCCTCATGCTATCTCTTCCTGCTGGCTTTATTCTGTGTTGACTTGAACGTTTCGTCAAATCCTTTCCAGATTTCCATTTGATTTCAGTGGCCTTTGAAGATGGATCACCACTCTCATTCGGATAAAACTCTTTGGAAAGAACTTTATTTTCAAAGTAAGGATTTTCATCAAAATAAAAATCTATTCTGTAACCTGATTTAATATCTTCAAATTCTGTCTCTTCAACTCTTGTCAAATAATGCAGCACCTCTTCATCCTCTTCGCCTGGCAGTGCAGAAACTTGTGGATGGTTGACAAATGTTGTTACCCAAAAATTTGGGATTTTGGCAATTAATTCTGACCTCTTCTGAAAAAATGGTTGGCGGAGTTTGTTATATTTCTGTTCTACTTTCAAAAATCTCCTCACTGGCTTGTTTAAGTCTGTCTATTTCATTTTGTACTTCATCAATATGTTCAATCACTTCTTAGTGTTCTTTTTCTCCCTTTGGCACGTCCTGAGGGGTCGGCTTCTTCTCCAGCTTGGGGCTGGAGGCAGTTTCGGTTTCTTCATTTGAGGTGGGAGTGAGGACTGGTGTTTGGGGGCCATGATGTGAGGAAAGTCGGAGGATCTGATCGCTGGGAAGTCGCCGGGCTCAAAGGCATGCTGAGCACTCCAAAATAGACTTTAAAAGTAT